TTTGAGAGGAATTCTAACAGTTGTCTTCGATACTGAACCTTCTCTTCTGTTTACAGTTCAGTTAGAATCTCCAAAGAAGTGCAGCTGTAGTAGAAGCACTATATGGTTTGAGATTGTTTTTCAGCAGCATGTTGGCTTTCCCATGAAAAAGTGATATACCCGCAGTTATATACGTAGCTCTGAGGCTGCTCAGTGGATCAGTGAACCTCTCTGGATGTGCAAGTTGCAAGTTCAATAGGTGCCATTGCACCTGTATATTGTATTAATCAGCCAGGCCTTTGAGCTTGATGCTGATAAAAAGCTGGATGGTCTTCTCTTCTTAAGTCTAGGTTTCATGAATTCCAAAAAGAATTTAAAATTTTGATTCATTTGACTTCAGAAAAGTTTTCCACTTTTTCTCATTCCACTTTTAGCAAGCTTTGGCCCAGAGAAGCATTTCCCGAACGTGTATATGGTTTCTTTACATGGTAGAGCTTTAGTCACAGAAAATAATGTCTGGAAGTATTTTATTGGGGAAAATATTCTCCTCCCAGACAAATGTACTGAAATTCCTATAAATGATTAAGTAGTCATAAATAAATAATAATACAGGGTCATACATGGTTGTAACATTTAGTTCAACAACATGTCAAAATACAAGAGAGGCGGGAGCCTTGTTCAACACATTTGGCGCATTCACACCTATTGTGTCTGGCGTTTACAGTACCAGTAAAGTGGTGTGAGTGTGGTCTCTGTGATGGACTGGCAATAGGGGATAGGCTCCAGCTTCCAGTGATCCCACAAGGAATTGGCACTATAAACAATAGATGGACGATTTAGCTCCTTCAGTTTTAGTAGAACAATTTACTCTTTGTATAGTTTGTTAAAAACTTAAAAAACTAATTTGTCTTTGTGATGTCACAAGCACTGGAAAGGAGTCAGGCTTTACCTTGCAGCATCCACAGCGCAGCCCACCGCATGCACCCAAGGCCCCAGACTTTAGTCTAATGAACACTCTTGAACAGTTGTCTTTTTAGCCCAAACAATACATTTAATCTAGATGACCAAAGAGGCGTTTCATTTTGCTGCCCTCACATCTTAAATATCAGCTTTGTTCCCACCATCAGTTAAGTCTCTGATCGTCACCATGCCAAATCTTTTTACCTGAATCGAGTAGATTCACCACAGACTCTGCCTTCCTTCTTTTGTGAGTCTACACCTCATCGAGATTTCTCAGTCTAGTGTCATCCAAAGTGAATCACAGGGCAATTTGTAACGGACAGCCCAGCTATTAGTCTGTGACAGAGAAATAGGCAGCTACATGTCAGACTGACTGATGCTGCTGCCCTGATGACACTTCTCCACTTTCTTACACGTATTTTTCTCCCCTTCACTATTTCTCTACTCTGACCCTGTTTGTTTTTCCTGTTACAGGATTGATGGTTGTAGGGTATAACTATTGGTGTACTGCAGTCCTCTGTTAAATTGACTAGCTTGAGCAGCCATTTCAGAAACCGAGTTAAAATAATACTGAACAAAGATTAACAAAAAGATTCCATTTCTTCCATCTTCTTCTCTGCTATTGTTTTTGTGTTTGGTTGTTTGACAGAAAAGGCAGAATGCCTACAGTTCTCTTTATAGTTTCACAGATGTGGTTAATCCTTTGCTCTACAGTTATTTCACGCTCAGCTTCCAGGTTGACGTGGCCTCTTCCTCCCTTTTTCTTGCAGCAGAGTTTCATGAAGTTCACCTTCAAAAGACAGCGTAATCTGTCGCCTAAAAATAGTCCCACTGTGACATATTTGGTGCTTGCGTTTTGGCTCTCGCTTTTCTTGGATCACTTTATTTTCGGTTTATTAATTAATCTCCTGTAATGATCAGTGCTGAGAAATTAAACGGAGAGCCAGACCACAGGGACCAACCGGTCCTTTGTTGTTTGAAGCCTCGCTATCTGCCATAAACACGGCATCGATGACAAAATGAACTAAAAAAAAAATGTCCTGCGAGCTTTACTTGGCTGAGTTTGCCTCCCAATATCAGGTGGCATGAGGATGGCGGAGGGCGAAGCAAAGCAGGAAGTGGTGGAACATGGACAGTCACCCTCGTCTGTTTTGCAGTCGCTGAAGCTGCACAGTGTTTGGTCTCTCAGCTGCTGGCTTCCCGGCTTTGGTGTGCCCCAGCAGAAATGCAGACAGCAGAGGACAGTTTCTGTCAGGATTTAATGACCCGTGTGATTTGTTGGCAAGAAACATGTCCTCAGAGGCAGCTCAACCTGTCTCCCAAGGCCCTTATCTCCTCCAAAACCCTGACGGGGGGCTTCTCCCCCTTTTCCACCATCACCACTGTCACCAGAATCAGATGTACAGAGGGAGCACATTTACACAGCAGAGGAAAAGGCCACATTTTTTTGAGTTGGTTCAACTGAAATAAGACATTTTAAAAAATTCTTCTCACAAATTCTGACAAAATAAGCTTCTCCAACTTGAATAACAGGACCCGACAGTTCAGTTGCTGCGTGACATCGTAGTGAAAACTTACATGCTGCCAGACTCGAATGAGCTTTTTTGCTTCATTGAAGTTTTTTCTATTTTTTTGCCTTTTTGGTAAAAACGGAGAAGTCTTGATTTCATAACTGCAGCATCACCTGTTCATATCAAGTAATGCAGAAGATTAGAAACTGTGAAATCTCAAGTTCAATTATTCGAGCGGTCCGCTGTGTTGTTTCATACTAGCTTAAGTAAAATTAACTCAGTTCCTCTTGCTCGAGACAGCTGTGCACACGATCAGCCATTCATGTGCCCGTTGCTCTCTGCAGGGCGTCACTTTGGTCTTTGACGGCACAGGAAGCAGAAGGATTGGCAGAAAGGAGAGAGCAGGCTGGACAATGTTTTAATTTCTTTGAACGTTACTGGAGCTTTCGTTATTTGGTCCTTTTACTACTAACTGTAATAAACTTGCCTCAGAAATTCTTTACTCTGCTTGGAATACTTTTTTTTCTTAATAGATGTGTTTAACTAGTCCTGAGTATTGAGTTAATTGCTTTTTAATGGTGCTATTAAATTGAGGCTGTCTCTCACTCCCCAGCACACCTGTACAGATGATAACTATAGGTTGGATGTGGGGCCATTGATCCCAATGCAGACTCATCATCATACTGTTGATTAAATGTCAGGAAAAGCTGATTTGTCCCAAGTGCAATCACACTTAACCTAAATCTTTTTCTGTATAACAGTCCTCCCTCTAAAGGTTGCTTTAGACTTTAGGTTTAATTTAAAGACAACTTGATCTCTTCTATATGTTCAAATGATTTGTGCATGTTGCCCACTTTTTATGCAGCACAAAGGCAGAGAAAATGGAGGCAGACTTGAGTATAACATTTATATTTTAAAAAGAGCCAGTGAAAATTTTAGACCCTGCACTCTCCAGTGATCGGGCATTGCAGCAGCAACAGCAGCAGAACTTGCCAGCCCCAGTCCAGATTAGATAAGCAGGAATTGCTGAATCTGTTCTCTGTATTCTTCCTTTTGCTACAGTGAGACTGTAAAAGTCAGTCATTCAGTTAGAAGTGCTGAGGGAAGCATAATTGAATAACTGTGCTGATTATTGATATCAACCAAAGACACCAGCTTCTCATTGTACCAGGCTTCATACTGGAGTAAAAGAGGAAAGGATACAAGTAAAAAAAAAAAAAAGGGAAGTGATCAAGTGTACTTTATAAAGAATCCATGCTCTGTGTATTCTTTTCTGATTCCTTGAAATGCCCCAAAACCTCCATCAATGATAACACTTTTTTCCCTGTTTTAACTTTCAATTTGTGTCGGGCCTCATAATTCCTGGCCCATTTTAGTACTGAAGCTCAGTAAGACAAACATACTTCAGTTTTTAATCATCATAAACCCCACCTCTCTTGCTGTCCCCAGCCGCTGTCCCAGCGAGCCCCTGTTCGCCTCAGTGCACGCTTCCAGCAGTCCCATGCCGCCACTCGTGTGGTGGAAGAAGATCGTCCCTGGACCGGTCAAGAAAGCCTGTCTGAGGACGACCCTGAAATGTGGACTCTGCTGCAGAAGGAGAAGGACAGGCAGTGTCGTGGGTTGGAACTCATTGCATCTGAGGTACTGAAGTTTTAACACCCATTTTCTGTTTTTGACCAAAATAATGAACGCAGTTGTCTGTATTTGGCGTTTTCTGTCAAAAGGAGTCAGGCAGCAAGTCAGCAAACGTCTTCAATAACACTGACACAGACTCATATCCTGGTCATTAATAAGTAACTCATTGACAAATTGTTCATGTTGTGCAGTGTAATTCATTCAGGCATAACTTATCAGCAGTACAGATGTGCAGAATAAACTGTATCGTATCTAAAGGAGAAAGAAATGGGCAGCCCCTTGATTTCATTCCTGGGCTCAGAGCTTTGAAATAGAGATTTTTACTATTCAGAGGGGCAGACAAGCTTTTATCTTCTGTTGTTCTTTCTCTCTTTGCCACGGTAGTTGTTCAGTGGAGTATATCAGCACCTTCTCAACACAAAGCCTGACCACTCTAGTGTGAGATAAAGCTGATATCTTCATTCTGCCTTTTCCCTAACTCACTCTACAAGACAAATCACAGTACAGTGAGGAAGGCATACATACTCACTGATACAGACACACACACACACCTAAAAATGCTGTGGAGACAGTGTCTTTTCCCTCCTAATATATGCACGGTTATCAACATGACAGACAGATGCAACAGAAAGCTGTTATCTCCCTGCTCTCCTTTTTGCTCTTAGGTGAAGCATTAGCATAATGACTTGCAGAGGACACTGCCACCACCACCCAATCAAAGAAGAGTGAAGGGTGCATTTGTCTGCTTACCCTTTGTGGTAAATCTTATTACTGACCAGTGTGGTAATACGCACCAAAGTTTTGCAAAATGACATGTGCAACACAGGACAGGCCAAAGAGTTTTAAAGAAAACTAACATTTGGGTTTGTTGTCCTCAGTATGAAGAACGGGTATTACCTCTCTGGTACCTTGCAAAATGTAATCACACCTGCATTTATTTCAGCTCCTCGCAGTATTGGGTCTACATCAGTCTCACATTTGGTGTATGAATTGCACATGTATCTTTGTATAAAGAGGTCATGCAGACTTTTTTAGGTTTATTCTCTGCTGTCCTGTTGTTCAGCGACAGGACAGCAGATTTGAAAAATACACATTTGAAAAATACATTCAAATTTGAAATGAGCTATAGTTACAGGAGGCCTAGGACATTTTAATGAATGTGTGTAAAAAGCTGGTAAATGGGCAGAGGCAGAGACCTTAATTATTTATAGTAAATGTCTCGTATAAGTTGTGTGATGCAGTGTTGGCCTTCTTTCTTCTTTTTTAGTATAAATTGCAGTTCAATTTTTTTTTTAAGGCAACTAGGAAAGCTTTAGACAAATTTTAATGTTTTTTTTATTTTCCTGTTTTCTTCAGCCATAAAGTCTCCAGCACTGTGAAGTGCAGTGTTAATCTGTGGAAGTCCAGGGGTTCAATACTATAATGATTGCCTCCAGCCAGAGGGGGTTTCTTACCATCACTTAACACACTTTAATTTGCTGTCCTCGTCCTTTCATCTACTGGTGTCATTGATCTGAGAGTGTTCTTGTGTGTTTTCGCCACAGAATTTCTGCAGCCGAGCAGCTCTGGAAGCTCAGGGCTCCTGTCTGAACAACAAATATTCCGAGGGGTACCCAGGGAGAAGGTGAGTGTTTATTCAGCTGAACCCCATCTTATTAATACCATACTGCTGACATTCTCTGCTTTAGGATGTTTGTTACAAATGTGGCCAAAAAAAAGAAGCGCCTAGATACTAATTCATAGTGTGTTCTCAAGGCAGCCTCAGTTTTGCCAAAAGAGTATACTCAATTTGGGAGAATTTTGTGCCGGGTTGATAGTTGTGTTCTCTATTTCAGATTTACAATTTCCTTTAGTTTCCCTGGGATAATTCATATTTAGAAGAGCAAACGTAGAGCTGACATGCTTTGAAATGCTCATCGTTTGATGCTTTTGAATCCTGGAATATGAGCCTTTCTGAAACCTCCCTCCCACTGTGTGCGTTTTTAATTTTTATCCTCCACAGCCCACTCATCTGCTGCTTTACACTTTAATGTAATGAAACAAAAGCATCATCTCATTGAATAAGGGGTTTGTACAGTAGCCATCTGTTGCCCGCATGCAGCCATGCTGAAATGCTGTTAGCGTTTCCACCTGGCATGTTCCAGATCTGCTGTGGAACTTTGGGGTCAACAATGGCCGTGGGTCTTTTTAACTAGTGGAACCATGTGTGGCAAATTCATTGGAGACTGATTATTTTCTAGTAATTAACACTATGAAAGGAGTCACTTTTTGCAGTTCAGATAGTTCAGAAGCTCAAGTGATTGTCCCTCAATCAGGTGGTCTTCAGCATCATCTATGGGCAAGATCATGAACCAAAAATCCTCCTCAAATGTGATCCTCACTTTGGTAGTTGCTACTGAGTGTGAATGTATTAATCAGTTAGAGATTTCCCATCAAAATCTACAGTTTGTCTTATCTTTACTGAGTTCATTAGATTGTCGAGTTTGCCATTTTCTTATCAGATAAAGTGGACACGTGCATTAACACATTTCATCAGTGTTGAATACATTTTTGGGGGGGGTTATTTCTATCAGGATTTGGTGAAAGCAGTTAATCTACAGGACTGATTGACACCAGTTGAATCAAGGTGCATTTTAGAGCTAATGGCTCTTTTGTTTTTTTGCCCTGAAGCCCTTTTTTGTGCCTTGTAATGTATACACTGTTGCCCTAAAGATGCCAAATAACCAATAACACTTTTATTAAATTATATTTAAATGAATCAATTATAATGAAATTATAGTTTCACGTCAATTTTTATTTTTATTGCTAGAGTGGTGTTTCATCTTTTAATGAAGGGCATCTTTCTTTTTCTTTTCTCCCTGAACTTAAAACTTAGATACTATGGTGGAGCAGAAGTGGTCGACCAAATTGAGCTTCTGTGTCAGAAGCGAGCGCTGGAGGCGTTTGACCTGGATCCAGCAAAGTGGGGCGTCAATGTTCAGCCATACTCCGGTTCTCCTGCTAACTTTGCTGTCTACACCGCCGTCCTGAAACCCCATGACCGTATCATGGGTCTGGATCTGCCTGATGGAGGACAGTCAGTACTCTCTGCTTTGCTTTATTCTTGGCCTTGTCAGTTTTTTCTGCTATCCTCTCACTTTTCAAAGCTGCCCCACTTTCATTGTTGGTCAGCACTTGTTTGTCACTCAGAAGGTCTGAAGAATCATTCCAGGGCTTTATTCTTTTTCTTCTACACAGTTGCTTAAAATAGAAATGTATGTTTTCTTTGTTTGTTTTTTTATATGCATAAATCATATTGTTGGCAGAATCCAAAACCAAATGTTGCTCTTTTTACTTCCTGTCCCTGCAGCCTGACCCATGGTTACATGTCTGATGTGAAGAGGATCTCTGCTACATCAATTTATTTTGAGTCCATGCCATACAAACTCCATGTAAGTATCAACATCTCCATTATCTATTTTCAAAGCTCAATTAAATGTAGGGCATTTTAGAATTGCAACAGTTTGACATCCTTTGTCAAAAACAAAGTTACCCAAAGTTGTACTCTGCTGTTTGTCAGATGCTCGCTGTCCTTATGAACAGTGTTTTCTTTAGAACTTTTAGTCCCTGCAACAGTGTAAAAAAAACTGTTGAAGGCTGGATTTAAAGAAAAATTGATAGATAAATATGTTCAATTGCTTTACCTCCTCATGACCAAAGCACATACTGAAACCAAAGTACAGTGCACGAGGATTAAAATTTTCATTGTTTTTACATATGTTCATCTAGATTGACTTACTATTATTAATGATTTAACTAAATAAATAATCATTGTATACAAATGATGTGGTTTGGGTTTTTGTTTTAGGACATTTTTTTTATTTCTTTGCCCACAGTGGGACAACACAAGGCGGTGTGTGGAGGGTTGGGGTCTACTTAAAAGAAATCTGAACCTAGCGGACACTTGCTGACAGCAGCTTACTGAAAGACAAATTCAGGGGTTTTAGTTGATGTATGAGCACCTTGCACAATGCAGGCATGCTGTCCCTCTGTCACACTATCTAAAACATCCATTGTTGTGCGAGTTGTGCCCTTAAATGGGAGAGCTGTGCAGTTAGGGTCGCACATGTATGACAAGCAATCAGCTCCACTTACTGCAAACAGTATGTTGGATCAGCATACAATACATTTAATGTCTTGTATTTTATTCCTGGGGCTGATAGTCATGTGGTGGTGTTGGGAGGGGCTGATGGATGGCAGTAAGAGTCTGCAGGTCCAGGCCTGCTGATGTATGGGCAGGCAGGACCCCTCTGCGAGAGAGTTAATGGGAAATCGACAGGCTGGCCAGCATCACTGGCTCTATCTTTACAATGAGCCGTTTGATGGAGTGAGGGGGCATCCATAGATGTGCTCTGGAGATGGGAGATTATCAGGTTGTCTAAATAAAGCTTTCCTCCTTTCCTTTCTTCTATTTCTTGTCTCTGACTCTCTTATTCCCCATTGTTTGTATCTCCCACTTTGTTTTCCTGCTTCATCATGCTGCCTTTCATTGTCTCTCTTCCACTACTTGGAGGAGGATTCGAAGGGTAAAGCTGTAGATTCAGGCGCACTGGTCATTTCATGTCACTTTCCGCTCCATCTGAATAATTATGGATCAACTTGGATGTTTCCTAAATTTCCTGGTTCATTGTAAGGAGTTTTGAAGCCAGTCTGGTCTGTTCAGCCTCATCATAGGAGTTGGGCAGAGCCCTGAATGGTAGAATTAGGATAAGTAGGGGTGCATTACTGGAATTGCTCTATTTTCATCTATGATATGATGGTTGTAAATGTCTCCCTTTGACAGATTCCATCCCTTTTTAAGGTAGCCAAAGTAGTTCTATATTGGCTGCTTCGAATGAGCTTCAAATGGAAAAATATCTCCTTATGTTGATACACTCTCTCTTGATCCCCAGATATCTAACAATTTTTTTCCCCATCCTCCTGTGTTTCTTTTTTTCTTGACCCCTTACACTCCCTCTAATATTCCTCCTCTCCTTCCTCTTTATTCATTCCTCTTTTCATTATCTCTTTACTCTCCGCACAATCTGTCTCCCTCCTTTCAGCCTGCAACAGGGCTCATAGACTACGACCAGATGGAGATGACAGCCAAGCTGTTCAGGCCCAGGCTCATCATAGCTGGCACCAGTGCCTATGCCCGCCTCATTGACTATGCTCGTATCAAAAAGGTGAGTGGAGATGCCCATATTCAAACCCATTTTCATCCTGACCCTGCTTTTGTGATGTCTGTTTTTCCTGCCTCTCATCTTTTGGACCAACTCGGTCCTCAAATGTAAATCTTAATCAACCTTTTCAGTGAAATGGCAAACACACCTGCTTCCTGTGCACGTCTGACTGAGCCAGCATTATTTCCCTTCTGTAAGGAAATGCCTCCTTGAGATCCTTTGTCATTTCTGTCCCACAGTTCAGACCTTGGCTCTAAATGAAGTGCTATAAGTTTTAAGCTTTTAGGGTTTTTACACGTTACCCATAAAGCAATACAGACTCTTTGTTACTCCGTTGCCCACTGAGCACACAGGCACAACTGGAAGCCTCACACTTCCCTGCGCTCCTTCATGTTGCACAAGGGGCCCTTTCTCTGTTTTGTTAAACCAACTCTGTGATTCACTTCTTTCATTCCATGGCTCCTGCCCTTATTTGGCAGTGCTTTTATTTAGCCAGCACCATCACCTGGAGTGTCCAGCCATTGCAGAGCTGTGTTTTTATTAACCACCATAACCACTTTTCCACTAAGCCTGAAGGGGGGGTCATATATTACCACCAGGTGCCTCCTTGGGACTTTTCAGTGTTTCTGCCTTGCAGGCTCCTTTGCAGATCTTCAGTTATGAGCTCTTGAGATTTTTTTAGTTTGTCTGTGAATTTCTTAGTTGCACTGTGACTCCCTCTTGTTTTTTCCTCCCATCCCCTGTTTGTTTTGCTTCATCTAATAAAATTGCTGATGCAGTGCAGATACAAGAGAACGGGAGGGAGATTTTAACTTTTTGGTTTATTGTTACTTGAATGGTTCCTTTTTACACAAGGTCCTTTATATCTATGAAGCATACAGAATTTTCCCAGAGAACTTGTAAATTGAAATAAAAATAAAAATCCATGCACTCTATTTGAAATTGTAGTCATTAAGGATGAACTAGTGACTTTTGGCTTTTTGTTTCCCGTTTTCTTCTGTTCCAGAAACAAAACGCTTTGCTTTACTAATATAGCTTGTGCATTTCAGATTTTGGGCGATGCTAGTCCAGACACGTTTGTAATTGGTGCCGAATAGAAAATAATGAGCTCTGTGGAGGCTCAAGGACAACAGATATTGGTAGAAGGTTTAAATACAAACTACCAAACAAGATTTGATATGGGTTTTATGGAAATGGACAAAACTATAATTTATAATGTACATAATATCATTTTTAAATCGCCACAACAAATCAATATTATTCTCAGAAAAAACTTTTCTCAGAAAGATTATCTAAATGCTGAATGACACATTGCACTGAGCTACAAATACGGGACATTAGAGGATGGTCTGCACTGCATTAAGTTACGGTAGTATCGCAGAGTCATTTAAAATTAATCAAGAATGGGCTCCTTTTCATACAGATTTATGCCGATTCAAAGGTTTTGTCTCCGTCCCGTCTTTCAGCTGTGCTCTGAAATTAACGCCTACATGCTCGCTGACATGGCTCATATCAGCGGCCTGGTGGCAGCCAAAGCCATTCCCTCTCCCTTTGACCATGCTGACCTGGTCACCTCCACCACACACAAGTCACTCCGCGGGGCCAGGTAGGTTACAGATGGTGTTGGTCAATAGATTAAACTAAGAGTTGTAATGGTAAAACTATTTGTGAATGAATCTGTTTGGTCCAGGGCTGGCCTCATCTTCTACCGTAAAGGCGTTCGCACAGTGGACAAGAAAGGAAAGGAAATCGTGTACGACCTGGAGGACAAGGTCAACTTTTCAGTCTTCCCCTCCCTGCAGGGTGGACCACACAACCACGCCATTGCTGGTGTAGCTGTGGCCCTCAAACAGGTAATTTTCCGATTTTAATGCAGAATTTGGTGGTATATGCAATGAACGGTTTATAAAACGTTAATAACTGGTGAATCACTTTTTTGCCCCAGTTTTCTCTGCCCTGAACCAAGTACTGTTGAACAGTTGTCAGCTTGACATCGATCAAACATAGTTTCCATTTTTTAAATAGCGTTATTTCTGTACTTCTCAAGTGAGAAACATAACTCGATTCCTTGTTTTCAGGCACAGTCTCCCATGTTCAGGGAGTATATTGCCCAGGTACTTAAGAACTCCAAGACCATGGCTACAGCTCTTCTTAGCAAAGGTTATACTTTGGTATCAGGTAATGTAACTTTTGTGTTTTGTTGGGGAAAAAAGCAGAAACGGTTTCAGATTCTTCAGTGCTGCTGCTTTGTCAGTCAAAAAAAAATAGATCTGATGAACGTGGTCACTTTCTGACAGTGAGCAAATGCTCGAATCTTGTTTAGCATTTAATACGCTTACCTAAGCTCTATTTTGATGTATAGCTTTAGGTTGATACCTTTCCAAAGAAAATACATCCTACTTTGTGCTTACTCTGCAGCATGTACATACAGATTGTTCTCATTTCTTAGACGTTTAAGTAAAAGAACTGAAAAACATGCAATCTTTTAAAGTGTGCGTGTAGCGCTTTCAGTTGAACTGTTCTGCTTCCTATTCTTAAGATGAAAGGTCCCATAGCTCAAAACTAATCAGAGGACGAGGCTTCGTGATGAAATGCTGAACACTTTGAAGAGTGAAATGTGTTCACGGATGTGAACTCTTCCTCTTCCAAAGTTTTTAGAAATACTTTGAATATTCCAGGTGGAACCGATAATCACCTGGTCCTGGTGGACCTGAGGCCTAAGGGCATCGATGGGGCTCGGGCCGAGAGGGTGCTGGAGCTCGTGTCAATCACTGCCAATAAGAACACCTGCCCCGGAGACAAGAGTGCCCTGACACCCGGGGGCCTGAGGCTAGGTAAGGAAAGGTCCTAAACTAGGGTATTAATCTTGGGCTGGTTTACCTATTACCTACCTTTAACTATAAACAAATAGTTTTTGACAAATTTACATTGTGTGTAATCCTGTTCACATAATCTGCATTTACTTTTTCAAACCGCACTCTGCTTATGGAAATTAGACAGCCACTAGTTAAGCCACAAGCACTGAGCAGTTCATGATTAATTAAAATTGTTTAGCTTTTTAATCATTTGCCTGAAAGTTTAAGAGCCTGCATATCTACGCTGCCCCGTTTCAGCTCTGTTAAGCCAAGACGTTTTGCCTGCAGTGCAGGACTTTGCTGATGTCGTGCACCCCCCCGATTGGACAGTTCTTTAACTGGCCCCTTCAAAAATAAGAATTTGTGTACTTTGAGAACATCTGCATGTCAGCACATCTGTGTATCTTCATTAGTAGCATTCGTTGAGGCTCCAGGATCATGGAATTATAAAAAGGCTCCAAAGCTCCTAAACCATGTTTAACCATGAAAGGACCATGAATTTAATTAATTGAAATTTTTTTTTCTGTGATAGGCGCTCCAGCTCTGACCTCCAGACAGTTTAAAGAAGAAGACTTTGTGCAGGTTGTTGAGTTCATGGATGAGGGTTTCAAGATTGCCCTGGATGTCAAGAAAAAGACGGGTGAGCTTATTTTGAAGAGTGACTCTGATGTAACTGCCTCTGTTTATTACTCCTCTTGTCAAAGCAGCATGGAGTTATTCACTATGAAGTCAAATGTAGCGAGTCGTACTAAAGGCCGGATGTTGGAAACTAAAAGCCCAGTGCTGCAATGAATTGAATAAAGGAGGCTAAAATGGCATGCTTAGCCTTTTGTCTTTTGCTGTTCACCACTGCAGGAAAGCTTCAAGACTTCAAGAACTTCCTCCTTCAAGACGCAGAGACAATGGCTCGCATCGCAGACCTGCGGCACCGTGTCGAGGCTTTTGCCAGGCCATTCCCCATGCCGGGCTTCCACGACCATTAGTCCAGCCAACGTGGAGTCAAGGGTCTGTGACGGCCAGGTGGCAGACAGCTGGCCGGGCAGAAGTGTGCACAGAGAAAATGGAAAAATGTCATGGTTGTGAGATGAGGATGGTGCCTGTGAATTGGGATGACTCAAGTTCTTTTTTTTCTTTTTTTTTTTCCAATCATATCTGTGAAGCCACATGTTTCATACTACTTTTGTGTCATCCATCAGTCTTATTAAATCGGAGCCTCCAGGTTGGAGTGCATAAACTAAATATATGTGATAGGTTTTGTAGAGCAGAAGAACACATTGTATGTGGTGTGAGAAGATCTTTTCAGCTGTCTTCAGACCATCGTCTAATACAAGTGTAAGGAAAATATGTGAAATCAAAGACCAACCCTTTGTCACAATCTTGTCTTAATTTTGTAAAGATTCCTAACTGGCATCATTGTGTATGATGGCTTGGTACAGTTATTTCCTGCTTTTAAAGTTAAGCAACAGAGGATTTATGAGATGAAGGGATGTTATATAAAACGATTTGTGGATTTAGTTTTGGAGGGGTGCATTTAGTCAAAATGGAAGATTAAACTAACATGTTTGAACATTTTCAAGAGGTAGCCCTTTAACAAAATGACCTATTCTTTTTAAGATTTAAGGGCATATTATACAGAAAGTAGAAATCATTCTTAACAGTATGGTTTGATAAATCAACACTACAAATTTTGCTCAGATAGTTTCAAAGGCCTTTAAGACAGTAGAATTTAATGTGAATTTATATTAGATGAACTGACAGTGTCATTCTCTTGACACTTTATTTGTCTCACCATTTTAGATGTCAGATTGTAATTGCTCAGTATTTTGCTATGAAAAAAGTTTAAATGGGCTAACAGAAAAGTCACAGTGTAATAATTTAGCATTTTAAGTTTGTTTACAGAGAGTATACTTTTATATACATTTTTAAAAAAAATAACTAGGTGGCCACACTTTGTAGTACATCTTCAGGTTTCCAGTACCTGTCTAATTTCTTATACAACAGGAATAACCATTTATAACTGACTTTCTTTCTTGTTTTCCATCCTAAGACTTTGATAAAACGTAATAATAAAGTACTCTGAGTCTCTGATAGAGTAATATTGTGTCAGTAAATAAGTAGAATTTCTTTCTGTGAAGTGGTCCAAATGCTACAACAACAAATGGGTATTAAATGCTGTGTGGACCATTCTCACTTTGAACAAAACATATCTTTTAAGGTATACCTCAATCATGTACATTATCTATATGACATTTTCATCCTCTCTTTGCCAAAATATACCAGTTAGTATTATGCTGTGCTGTTAATTTGTGTACAGTTTATCATTTGGCATGTTGTCTGGCACTGCACACTGAAATAGTTTGGACAAATTTTTAGTTTTTTTAGAGTATTTGTATTGATTTTATTGAAACCCTAATAAAATTCAATAATACTACTCTAGGCCGAGTCATTGATTGGCTGTTCTTTCACATTTCTGTCTTTAATGTGATGTGGTTAATCTAAGGTTGTGAATGTCAATATTTTTTTATTTAAACATCCAGGTTGCAATTTTGTTGTATCATGATTCTTTTATACATATTACAACAAAGTGATCTTAATTAAAAAAAAAAAAAAAAAAAAACATGGTATGGAAACTAACGGCACAGACGCTTCTCTTCTGTCAAATCTCCAATCCTGGTGTGGACAAGGTGAGGGTAGAAAGAATGTTTTGCATTGAGAAATCTGCCAGAACAACAGTCAACAAAGTCATTTATCTACACACCAACTTTGTTGGACCTTTAAACCAGATGAATTATTCTTAAAGTAAAGATTTTTTAGAAAAATGAACCCATGTTGACTTGGATTATATTTCTGGTTACTGATGTCTTATTTAAAAGGCACATCATAGTGAGCTTGATTAGTTTTGTTTTTCATTTCTTCTTCTTTCCCACATGATACTCTCGCCATAGCACAAATCAAACACACCCTCGCTGACAGGGCGGGCTATTTAAGCTTGATCACCTTCTGCCTGCTCTCCAGCTGTTGTTGAAATTTTTGCTGCACTGCTGCTTCTTATGGAGCATTTTACAACCCCCTAAACAGATTAGCTGCATGGAGAAGCTTCCCCACTATCTGCAAAGGGTCCATCTACTGACATGCAGAAGTCACCTATAGTCACCTGATTCAACAGGTGACTATATTGTTTTTATGGCTGCTAGTAGCTTTGGAGTCTTTGTATATTGGCATCTGTCTAAAATTGCACTGTATTTGCTTCTAAATGAACTTGGGATAGCTAATTCAATGAGGTAACTTTCTTTTACCAGTTCTTTTTTAAGCTTTCTTCCTGCTGTTAGCTGGTTAAAAGGACTCTCAGTTGAATTTTGTCTGGAGATCCAAATCAAATGTAATTTTTCTTGTTTTTCAAGAGATTTTCTGATTAATTTTTATTGATACTGCTTAGATGACACGTTCATTAAAGGGTTTGTAATATGTCTTCTGTCTGTGAATGTTCTAAAAACATTGCCACATAATCTTTAATGTGAGCTTTTTCTTCTCCTATGGACCTTTTTTTATTATTATTATTTCAGCATGCATTTCTGACTGTTGTTTTAGAAGGACTCTCAATCCACTGAATACTAAATACTTAATACTAAATTCCCACTTGAAAACTGCAATGGACTGCTGTTGGTGAGTCTATTTTTCTCATCAACAATAGAGTTGACAATTTGTACTTAAAATTGTTGGGTTTTTTTTTTTACTAACAGGTTTGCTCTGTCTGAACAGATGACAAAGTGTATTGAAGATTTCAAGATTATCAATATTTTTTGATTACATTACATGAGTTCTTTGTTTTGACGCACTGATATGGCCTTGATGAGTCAAACTTCAGGAGCAGCACTCGATAACCACAAGAGGTCAGAGTGCCGAATCGCCTGCGGAGGAGAATCCCAACCGCTTTGTGTTTAGGTGATCCCCAAATCTTTACATGCTCCACAGTTCCCATCAGGACCCAGGACAAGAAGCTAGTGTCAATAGGTTGTTGTTGTTTTTTTTAATTAGAAAGAAAATCAACTCAGTAAAACGACTTTTCAACTCCTTAACGCCTACTTAAAGCCTTTACAGCTCTAGTCTAATAAAACCATAACTCTGTAACAATGGAGTCCAGACAATATCTATACAGTATACAGCTGGACTTTAAAATGAAATGATCTCCCAAAGAGAAAGTTAGAATAGGCAGAATGTCTTAAACGTTTTCTTAAACAGTCCACTGCGTCGTCAGATGATTTTCAGTTTTTTAACTTTATTCACTTCTCAGTCGTGGATATTTAGAAAACCAACAGTGGTCCGTCCAGTTTAATGAAAAGTTGTACAACCATAGCTTGACTCAGCTAAACTTCTTTTAGACTTTATTAAACAGTTTTTCTTGTTCAGAATATGCTAATTCCACTGCTTTTTTTTTTAAAGCAGCACCATACTGAGCTGATGAGTCATTCTGTGAAAACTAAATACAAAAACTCTGCCTACACTCAACACTCAACATTGTGTCAAGAGGGCACCAGTTCAGGTTGCAGATTATAAAAGTTTGGTCTGAAAGATCTTCGCACAGGGTGATCTTTAAGCTACTTTCTTTTTTGATAAAAAAAAAACACTTGTTATGCTTAGTCAAACTTTTGCCGTGTCTGATGAGTTACATCCTTTTGCAGAAGGTCACATTGCACGCGTGCAGGAGGAGTGCTTCCTTTGACATCCGTGAGGACAAACCGTGTGTTTGTAAGCATCAATAGGTGAGGGACCTTGAGAGCGATGTTGCAAGCTGCACCGTTGGTGTTGCATTCAAATGCAGTTAGCCGGACAAATGGTGAAACCCGTGCTATTATTCGTTGGACAATTTATGTAATGGATCCTGTTCTTTATCCCGTGCAGGAGTAAGCACTTCATCCACTTTTTCAAAGCTACGTGGTTGAGCGATAGCTTTTAGCAGCAGAGGGGATTGTAAAATCACTCTGTAAAATGAATGGGTTCATAAGCAAGAAAAAAAATGCAATGAAAAAATACTCCTCAGTTGTAATTGTTATAATCGTCCGCAGTAATACCCATCTGGTACGTTTCCCCATAATGTTGGTCATCTATCAGAGCCTTAAAACTCCCTCTGATCTTCCCTCTGTCGTCATAAAAAAAACACGTGCATGCACACACAGTCTCAAACGAAGAGATGATCAAATTAAATTCCCTTGGTGGCCGATCTGACAATAAATCATGTCTGTTTAATGATGAGGGGAATAAATGACAGTGTCAGCCATTAATTAGAAATGTGTCTTCGGCCTGTCGTGTTTGTGTGAGATTGCATGCGTGTCGATTCAAACAGCACAAAATGTGCCTGTCATTTCATTACCTGTCATAATTAAACCTGGCAGAAGTCGATATGACCACATAAAAAGATCTAAATACACAGATGAGAAGAGCTGTCTCTGCAGATGTAACCATGAGCCAGCTAAGTCATATTTATACATCCCAGCCACGCTAATGTGTTGTAATGATCTAATAATGAAACGTGAGGGCTGCTCAGTGTCAGAGGCATCATTGTAGGGGGTGCGGATGTTGTCTGTGTCCAATAATCCTAATCCCACTTTCAGTCCTCTCCTGCTTGCTCTGCTACTACAGCTGATAACATTATGAAGCGCGTGCCCGAATTATTGTAATAGATCACCAGCGATGAAAAATGGAATATTAAGCATCCATCCACCTTTGCGTTGTGAAATAAATGAAAACGTATTCGCTCTCGGCAAAATTGTCGGGAAATAAAAAGATTTATACCATCACGATTGCAAAATCCCCCAGTAACAATGATAAAGTGAGTCAAATGTGATGCACATGTCTCTTACCCAGATCATTAAATCAATAGATGTTGCAATAATGGCGTCACCGACTTGTTTGCAGGCTTCCAGCTGCTTTTAGGCCCCAAGTGCACCAAGCGGACGATGCTGGATGGCGCATTAGTTTCCATGTGAATAAAAATCCACATTGACACAATATACTGTAGCTTGCCTTTCTTGGACGAAATAGGGGAAAATTCACCAGGATTTTACGTTTCTAGATTGATAGATTCTCTGTGCGTCACGAGATCGTGAATGTCTTAAACAATTCTGACCATTTCACACAAAGAATTTCTTCATACCTGTGCCTGGGGTAAACATTTTCTCATACCTGCCACAGGGAACTAATAATAGAAACCTGCTTTCTTTTTCGGTTTGTTTGTTTTTACCACTGACACACTGGAAACTTTTGCTTGCTCCTGAAGCGAGGAGGGATTCCAGGGACAAGACTGCCAATGCTGCATTATTCTCTGCCCTGCTTTTCCACACTGCAAGATATTTTCAGGCTGTATAATGTAAACACGCTGCTGGCGTATTTAGGAAAAGGCAGGATGTTACCTGTTCAAATTTCGATTTACTTTATTTCTTATCTTAGGGTGTGTTGAGCTTCCGTCTGTGGTCTTCACTTCTCTACATCTGTAATAGTCCGCTTGGCTTACAGTTAGTGAACTGTAGTAAGATGGCAGAAGAAACTTTAGCATTTTTAGATCATCGGTAATAACAAGCTTGTTCCTGTTAATGTATATTCACTGATCAGTTAACATTTAGAATAGTACATCTGTTGTTCCACTTACACTTGATTGTATTCATTTAATGCTTTGGTGATGAAGAGTGCTCTATGTATTTATGGAGGGTTAGGGGTGCCAAATTAAATAATTAACTATATAATGACATTTATACCTGTAAATCTTCCACCATTTACTGTAATTAAATAAATAATAAAATAACATTTACTACTAAATAACTAAATATATAATTAAATTATTAAATATATCAATAGATCATTAGATACATCATGGAATTATAAACTATGCAATTAAATATAGTGAGAAATTATTAAATCTGCCTCTGAATGATTAATTAATGAAATACTAATATTTCCTTTTTAAAGAAAACTTTGATTTAAAAAAAAACAGATTTGATCGTTTCACTGTGTAGTTATTCATTTCACGCCTCCTGTGCGAGCGCCCTTGTCATGAAATAATTTAAACTGTCAAATCCCCCTACCCTCCATTTATATTCTGCAACTGTAGGCATCTTGTTCCAAGTAAAAAAAAAAAACTGTAACCTTTTTAATGTCCACACAGAGAAATCCAACCTGTAGAAAAGGTTTGTTTACTCTGCTTTTTATTTCACTTTGGTTTTTATATCATGCACTTTAGATTAGCTTCACCTGTACTGTAAAAAAAAGTCTTATTTCAGGTTGTCTTTATGGTATGTAATTCTGCCATTAGCTATCAAACTATCAAACCTGTATTATCTGTTGGTCTGAATGGATATTTAACTAAAGAAAATCTTTTTCTTGTTTTTTGTGTATCCACACTGTTAAAAATATGGATTTGGAATTGAAGAGAAGTTTCCTTTGAATTTTCTGTATCAGCATTTTCTTAATTTTGCCCATGAGATTTGAAATGATTTTCCCTCACCAGAATGAAATTTATGGGAAGCATTTGTAAAACTAGCACAAAGAGAAAGCCCCATTAAACCTAACAGCTTATCCCTTATAAACATACGTATTGCAGAGGAGTCCCAGACAAACCCTGTTTTGCTGCTTGATTTTTGAAGTTCCAGCTCCAGGAGAAAACATTAAAGGATGAAAGGCCCCACTATCTCCTCCAGATCAATGGATCTGCCCAGGGCCCAGCAGCAGAACTAGCCCAAAACACTGCCACCGTTGCCTCCTGTTTTGCGGCATGTCCTATTTACTTATTTATTTGTCCCTCCTCCACCCACAACGTACTTCTTATCTCACCCATTAAAATTAATCCCCGGCTAAAAATATCTATTCTTCCTCATCAAAGAGACTGAAATCAAGGAGGATCACGCTCGCTCTCAGTGTCCTGCTTTTTGCCTTTTCCCTCATCATCAATCCAAGCTGACACGTCAAGTCTCCTTAATTGTAAACGCATTTGGAAAAAAACAGCCCGCGTTTGTGAGACTCATCTTTGACAAACTGCCATACTTCATTACAGATTGTAGCCTAACTGTAACTGCACCCCCGCGATGATATGGCAGGTTTTAAAAACAGATTGAATAAGTTTGCTGACCGGTTCGAGTTTTCGAGCTTAAAAAACTGTGTTCTAATAATTCATTTATTTATCTATTTTCATTAACAGGTCAAAAAGAATAACAGTATTGTAAGCAAACATGGAGGATGTTTCAAAGGAGATGCACACTATGGAAAGAATAAAGTACCTGTTGTGCTTAATGAGATGGTTGATGCTGAGCAGCTCTCATCCGCACTAATTTATATTAACGAAGGCAATGCAATTGCAACAAGCTGTGAAGCTGTTCGGGCTGGATGACGCCCCCCCCCCCTCCCTGTGTGTGTGTGACCTTGCGATTATGCCCCGGTGTGATGCTTTGGCCTGCCTTATTACCTGTCAGCAGGTTTTGTGCGTCCGACACAAGCATACACACAAACACAAACACACACACAGCCCAAACAACAGACAATGCCCACCGGGCAGGTCAACACACTGCTGGACGGAGCACATTGCTGTTGAAAATGTGCTCACACAAACACACACGCGCACACAACCCTAAACGGGCCCACGCAGGCACTGGAACATAGATTGTCTATTAAGCAGTGTATTAGGAGAGCCCGAGGGCCTCACACAGTTTGTGTGGCATTAGAGCAGGATTTTAGGTCTGGTGTCCAGTGACACTGACTGAAGGCACACACACACACACACACACATACACACACGCATACACAGGCTCACACAGATGAAAACATTTATCATTCAATGATCCCACTAACAGGGGAGCATTAGACCAGCAGGACGCCTAAAAAGTACTGATTCTGAGTCTATTTTTTACTCTCCATACCTGGTAAAATGAGTGTTTTGGTCTTTGTAGGGAGTCGGTCAGTTTTTTAGAGATTTAACTTTTTGTTGTTGGACGGTATCTTTCCGTGTCTGCAAAGTGGTCTAGAAGTGCTCAGTGACCTGCACAAATATTAATCTCTCATGATTGATTTCTATTTTGGTCCTTTTTAACTGCGACTGCATATCTCAGCATGTGGGCATGTGTGACTTACTTATCACAGCAGTGCTGGATTTGTGAAGTGATTAGCTCAGTAAAAATCATTTTCCCCATTGAAATTAAAAGCAGAACTCGTGTTGAGCATGGACAAGTTCAATAATCATCATCTACAAATAATGGTCACACAATGGTTTCACATCTCTTTTGCCTGCGTGAAATAACTTGAAATGGGGAAAGTAGAACTACCTCTGAGACTTCTTAAAAAAACTTATATAAGTTTATGAATTAATTAAATGAATCAGGAATTCAAAATAGTTTGGTGGCAAAAATGAAGCACAAGATATTCACGAAAAATAACAGTTAATATAGACAGAGCTGGTTAAAAGTTAAAGGCTGTCATTAAGTTTGGTTTTAGAATATCTCTGTTTATAAAGTTTTGGGTGAAAATTGATTTTTATGAAAATTACGATAAATGGAAGATTGCATTATTCTTTATATGAGTTCTGTGCTCCTTTTTGTGGTAATAATGCCTCATCTTAGCTACTGGAACTCTATTCTTTTATTTGGAGTTAGAGATGGTTTCCACTCGTTTGGAGTCAGTGGGAAAAGGTGCTAAACCACATGGTACAGCAGGAAGTGAAAGGTTTAACGTCATTCATTGAATGTTGAATACAAATATTTATATATTATTGCAATGTAACTTCAATGGTATGGCACTAAATAATTTAAGTGTACATTTTCAGTTTGGGCTGAATCAGTCATGTGGTGGTTGGAGCAGTTGTCTTAAAACATGAGGCTTCTCAGTTTGAATCCCCAAGGGTCTTTGACTTCCTTCCACCTCCAAAAACATACATGTTACATTGCTCCTAGGACTGAATGCCATGGTGTGTGGTTGTGTGGTCCTGTAATGGACTGGCAACCGCCCTCTTACCCAATGAATAAGCTGGTATGGACAGTGGATGGATTTCCACAAGAATTTCATTTTTTTACATTTCGTTTCATTTTTAAATGAATGTCAAAGATTTAAAAATCCATTCTGAAGCACAAAGAAAATGTTATTCTAATCAGATTTGTTTTTTACACAAAGCTAACTTCCTGCATCTCCCTTTTTATTCTTACATTGAGAATTCTGCTTGCAAGACACAAAGTGCCCATGCATGCACCCCATCATCACACTGTGTCCTCCTTTAAGATATTCAGCAAGAAATCCTTCTGTCTGGAAGCACATAATCTCACACGTGCATTATAGGAATGCTTATAGCCTTTTTTTTTCTCCCTCATTTTCTGTAAGTACAGTAAAAGTGGAGTCAATCTCTTTTAAAAGATCTAAAGATTTGGACTCCATGTTTAATCATGGCACCAGGCGTGAGACTAAAGCAGGAGATGCTCTGTGTGAAAGTGAAAATCCGCCATGCCGACCCATCATGTAGATTGCAGTCCCCTTTACACTTGTTTTTCATTACTACGACTAGTTCAGAGCTCTATAACGAAGGTGGCATCATTCATACTCGGAGCAAGCTGTCCACGTCAGGTGAGCTTTAATTTTTCTTTATGTGTTACAGCATGAATTCAGAGTGGCTGAAAACAAGAAGAGATGAAGAGATGGAAGTTGCATCAGTCTGGTAAGGTCAGGGAGGTGCCCCTGGAGTTTCCTGGATGATCTTTAGAAGTCGGGACCATCTTTTTTCAGGCTCTTGTAGTCTGTGGTGATGGCCAGTAACTGTAGAAGGCAGGGGAGGGGCATTAGGACAACACCACTGCATACACACATCCCTCCAGCTTTTATTTTCACACTGGCAGTGATTATTTTGTCTTTGTGTGTTTTCCTTGATTGGGCTGCCATTAAAACTCTCACCTCTCCCTTTCTATCAACCCCCCTTACTCTTATTATGATTATTGTTGGAACTTCAGTGGAATTCTGATGCGAGACCTTTGCCTCGCTATGCAGAATTAAACATGTCGTGTCCTGACCTCTTTTTTTTCCTTCCCTTTTTTCGTCTGCAGCAACTCTCATTTAAACACGCTAAACCCTGAACCCCTCTGAAAATGCTTTGCTTTTCTCTGAAAAATACATCATCCATTCATCTCTCTTTGGATTTAGTCAAGCTGTTGTTTACTTGCTCCATTTCTAGTTGGTGGAGTTAATATTTTTATCAGTTCATCCAGAGCTCTTTCTTCATTTAGCCACAAACTGTTTGTTTTTAAAAACTTAGAGCAGATATGAAAAAAAAGCCAGGAAGCAGCCGTTGTGATGCAATATTGTCCTGCCAACACTGGTTTATCTAACTCTATTTTGGTTAGGTTTTAAGCTGGTGATGAAAATGAGATTGTCAGTGACTCATTGAAATGGTGCCATCATTGTCCAGATCAGTTCTCTGGCAATCAAGTTGTGAGCAGGGCTGCAGTTATACAATAATTAGGGATGGGAGAATTCACCTTGTACTGGTAGGTTGGGTCGAGATTGTTCCAGGGCTCGGGGTTCTTCTTTTTGTCCCAGAAGCTGCACACATGGATATGTTCACAGTATGAAAGAGAAACAGAATGAAACGAATACATGAGAAGGCTGAAAGCAAAAAAGTAGCTTAAAGATCAGGTGAGCAGGAAATATAAAACACTGCAGATATATAAGAATTACAGACCATGCCGTAACAAAAAGAAGAGCAGAAGGACAGGCTCCTAATTGGACTAACAAGCACATGCCAGATAGAGACAGAAGTTGGAAATACAAAGAGCGATTATGAGATGAGGTAAATTCAGTCCAATGACTTGGCAGTCCTCTGTTCATTAAGCAAAGTCTGGATTAAGCAAAGTCTGGGTGGACAGTCGATCCAGTGAGACTGTCCACCCCCCCCACACACCCCCACTCTAGTGCAAACAAAGAGATGAGGATGTCTCCCTTCCACTCTGTCCATTACCACAAACACAGTCAGAGAGAGAGGGGACGCCACTGACCACAGCACTCATCACCAGCCGCTGATGAGGTCAGCCTTTATGACTGAACCTCCGAACAACAGTTCCGTGTGGCCCAAAATAGGACACGGACCATCCGTGCATTCGCATTATTGTATGTGGGTGGTTACTGAGTTCAGTGTGATCGTTGAAGCTCCAAAATATTTGAAATTTACAGATGGTTTTTCCCTCCTCCAGCGCTATCAGACTAATTCTTTTATGCCCATCAGCTGTAAATATCAACATTTTTATCTTGACTGTAGCTGTGAAGCAACAGCTTTTCATTACATTCTTGCAGTGTTTTCAATTTCACTGGTAAAATTAAGGTAAAATGGGTCCTGTATCTTTTCAAAATAGCATAATTAGTTGTCACCTAAGTTAAAATCTGTTTTAGAAAATATCACAAATTGTCAATTGATATAGTCTGAATTCACTCCTTTTTTCTTTCATTTTAAATTTTTTTCAATGCAGCAGGAATGGAAATTCCCACAGCTTTTCATGCTGTTTTATTCATTGAAGCTGTAATTCGTCTCGATTTGTCTTTTGAAAACATAACGAGTGTCTAAGTGCATACAGCTCCAATTTGGCTTAGTCCTCTCCCATTGTTTCTTCCATTAAACTTTTGTATTCTGCTGTCAGGGCTGATGCTCCTACACCACCGGACCAGCTGTAGATGCTCTAGATGATTAAAAAACAACAACTCTGGTTTACAAAGTAAAAACTAAATGCATTAAACTATAATGCGGATCATTTGTGGGGCTCCATGCCGCCTAAACATTAAGCCTCATCCCAACAGGCCAACCAAATGAATCAACAGGTAGGAAAAGCATTTATGGTGCGTATTTTAGTTAGTTCATTTCTTTAATCTCTTTGTAAATATCTTAGGTTAGGACGTGGACATCTGCAACTTATAAAACAGTGTGACCTATATCTGTACATATCTGTTTTTTTTCCTTTTTCAAGTTAGTGGATGCGTCTTATATTCAGATGCCCTCAATAATCCGAAGATTTGACCCTTGGTCAGAGGTACCTTACTGTTCTTCTTTCAAATTTTCTCTTTGCCTTTCAATGTTTACATACTCCTGTTTAATTAGCAGAAAAACTCAACTTTACTATGGACAGTGAAGCACACCTCAGTTGTTTTGTCATCTGAATCCTCCATCAGCTTTTTGCAGGTAAATTGTTGATTATTGTGTAAATGACTGTTTGGACATTAGAAATTACAACTTTTTTTCTTTTTTTTTTTAAACGCAACTTCTTTTCGTCGAGACATCAGTTCTCTTCTTTTCAGAAGCCCACAGTTTGTGACTGCAATCTTTCAGCTGAGGAAATATGACGGATCTTAACAGTAATGAGGACATTACCTGTGACAGTCGAGTGGGCCAATTTGTGCAAAGGTTCATTTTGTGTTTACTTGTTTTAGGAAAAAATAGGATTGAGTACACAAGGATTTAACTTTGATGGCTTTTATTCCATTTGAAGCCATTGTCTAAATTATTTCTAATCTCTTAATGAATCTGTTTTAGGCTTTTAGCTGGAAGGTTTTTACTTGGTGGGTATGCAAATGATTGTTTCCTGCTTGCCCAGCATCACTGGTCAAAAGCATATCAGGGGATAGTTAAAAATCATTCTCTAATCACCCACACAGATGGACATACTTACGTGACATGAGGGCCTCGTGCCAGTCGGATCAGGTAGAAGGTGGCCCCTGTGAGGCCCACAGTCGTGAAGAAAAACTGAGGGATTAACTGAGGAGAGGAGGGGAGCATTAGGCTTAGAGCACACGCAAGACGGGGAAACAAATATGTTCCATCAAGCTGCTCGCCATGATGTGTATCCTGAGCGTACACCTATACGAAACACACACACAGGTAGTTAATATTCCTGTTTTGTGCTCTGTCTGGCCTCCTCCATATGCATGAGACTCAGGCCATGTGTGAGGCTTCTTACTGTCAGCGTGAGTTGAACGGGCAAGGACGCTGTGGAAAAGAGATCTGCTCCGTGTGTGTGTGTGTTTGTGTGTGTGTGTGTGTGTGTGTGTTTGTGTCAGGCTCTCCGCCTTTAACACTGCGCCTGTCATACTGAGCGACAGCAACACACACACACACACACACACAGAACGAGACGCACGTGCACTCGCTCTGATATGGGCTCGCACACCCGATTTCCACACCTAAACACACAAGCACGGACGGGAGTGTGAATGTGCTGAGACTCTTTTGAGGTTCTGAGTGGTGACAGCGACAGGAATTAAAATTTAGAGAGAGAAAGAGAGAGAGAGAGAAAAAGCACATTAAAGGGACAGGAGGATATTGCGGTGTGTCATCTTAAACACCCAAAGCTTAGGCGTGACAATCCTCAAACCAGGCAGCGCATCTATTCATCGACTGGCTGTTTTTTCTGCGTGAGACAAGAGGGGTAGTCACACCGCTGCCGAACAGCTGCTTCCAGCCCACACAGATCCAGTGGAGCTGCAGAGAGCTGACAGTCTGATCAGGTTGAACGGAGGGATGTCTCTACTCAGCTGTATCTACACATCTGTCTCCTGTCTGATTACTTTGTCACCTGCCTTGTTGATTAGCAGAATACCTGCTACTAAAACTTTTATAGGCACTGCTTTTAAAGTCGCGGTGAATAAAGCAACACCTCCTTCTGCTCAAACTGCCACGGCTCCGAGCTTTAACTGGTACTCAGCACAGATCAGTTGGGTTTTTTTAAGCTTGTTTTATGTGTTGAGTTTTATTTTTTCTTGCATCAATTTGTTGAGGTCAAAGGTAAAATCCTACCTTCCATTATCTGTCATTTAAGAATGAAATTGAAACAAATTCAAATAAGTGTAAACGTATCATAGAGGTTTTTCTTGATACATTTTAAGTTCATCTTTCAGTGCAATGCTGCTGAAGCTCACCCAGTTAAAAGATGAAAGGTCCAAAGTTCAAATTAAAACGTTCTCAATATTGATAGAGATTTGTATGAAGTTTTTATTTTATTTTAGACAAAGGAAAACGAAACACCCCATAAATGTTATAACACCATATAAGAACTAAAGTAAAGTTTAGCAAACATGGTTTCCTCCTCCTTTTTAAAGTTACTTAAAAGATGCGGTGAGCAATGAATAGAGAATTGGCTATTTTGCATTTATTTTTCCAGTGGAGTGCTACGGTTTACCCTAAGAAGTGAAAGGGTGTGATTTATAGGTATGTTTGATCGTTTAACATTAACTAACATTTCAATGTTGTAACCAATTTATATGTTTCAAATATTTTAAAAGGTTTGATTTTATTTAATTGAATAAAGACTGTTTAGTCATTTTGCTTTTGACTATACTGAGATTTGTGCTTAATTTCTCTAAACTTCTCACAAGTTTGGGAAAAGTTTCGAAGTATAAGTGTATTGTACAGTGACTCCAGATGCATCATGGAAGTAAACCCAAGACAACATGCAGATAAACGAACAGAAGCAGGTCAGCTTTGATGGCTGATGCGCACACACACCAACATTAAACTAATAATGAAGTCAGGCCTGTGTGTCGGGAGCTGTCCACTCCCTGGTGCTGATATCTCCATACTGTGCCACACAACTAAGCATTTCACCTTTTAGCCATTCAGCCTGACCGAGATAGGAAATGTTTTATACTCGCTGGGGTTCGATACTGTTGGTGCCCTTATTATTTTTCTGGTGCACTGCCAAGCCAGCCGAGTCAATCTGTGAATTTGGGTCACCCTCAGCAAAGCTCCGAGGCTCTGGGGGTGGGGGGGACAGACAAGCACAGACGCTTTTTGGTTGCTTTTGTTTTATTTCATTTTGTTAGGAAAGTTAAGCAAATTATCCGGTCGGAGAAAATATCTGTAGCCATAACATATTTTGAACATATGTTTGCTTTTAAGGTACTCTCAAAATCTCAACTTAAAAGTTCCACTTGTCGGCTTTCTGAGCGTCTGGAGATCCAAAATGAGTTGTTCACCGCATGCTTAGTGGTTCAAATTGATTTCTGTGATTTATTGTTGGTATTTTCTCATTTTTACACATAAATTCTGGTTGTAAAATGTTTTTCAGAGCTACACAGCAGTTCAGTTATGTTTAGTATTTCCTTGTTTTGGCTCCTTGCTTTCTTTATGTTGGCAGAATTTTAACAAAACATGTTATTCCACAGTTAGTTCTGATTGCAACTCTAGCTTTGAACAAAGCAACTGCCCTCTTTAGTTGTTTGAACTTAGGGATACTTCTATTTAGGTTGTTTTTTTTAGGTGGGTGAATCCACCGATCCACCGACTACAATCAGAATTCATGTATTAGCTAACAAATGTACAGAGATTGCAATTCAAAAGGCTGGAAAAATGTATAAATGTGGTTCAACCTACCCCTGGATGTTTCTTCGCATGCTGAATCATGGTCTTAATCATCTTATGCTTTTTTTGGAAAATTAATCCTCCTTTTAAGAATAAGAAAGGTTAACTGCAAGCTAAAGGCTGATGGCTGCATCCATGTGAGAGAATGTCTGTGCAGATTTATTGAAAGAGCTGTTTGTTAGCCGAACAACAGTTTGTTGGCCAGTGGAGTGAGACCTGTTGCCAGTCTCACCCCTCTGCTGGATAAATGAAGAGGGTCAGAGGCGAGAGGGAGATGGGTGCAGGGAGGGGGTGAGTCCTAATCCTCATAATCACATCTGTTCAGGTCACTGTATGTTTCCACTGAGGCTCACTGGGTACTTTGAGTCCTAAAGTGTTTTGTTGCACCACACAAAAACTGCAGATACTAAAACTTACATACACAATGCAGCCATTGTGTTGAACAGTTAGCTATTTTCAGAATAATGGAACCCAATTTTTATGGAGGGCCATTCCTGTAAAACTTGAAAATCCTCTCTTAGCAGTCTATAAATGTTGCTGCATTATCATTATTTTTCATAAGTAGAGCATGTCACAAAGTGTAAAGTCAAGAGAAGCAATAGTAGCGTTCAATATGTCCCTCAGGTAAATACCTTTTGTTATAAGCCTGATAATGTTAATTGAGTGAGGAAACCTGCAAATCTTTTTATATTCTTTAAGAGCACTTTGAGCACCCAGTGTAATTAACACCAACATGTCACGCAAAGCAAAATGCACACTCACTTCTATTCTGTAAGTAAGACATTGTGTCCATATCATCTCTGGTCCAGAGGGTAATGTAGGCAACCAAATTTTTTATGATCAAACATTTGTCTTCAATCTTTTTCTAAAGCACAGAAAGGAGTCATTTCACCATCAGCAACATCCAGTTCTCTTCTCCAATTCGCCGATATGGGCCCAGGGCTGTTTGCTGATATGGGCCAAAATGACCTATAATTATCCAACCATCTATTTTCCAAATCCACCAAATCTAATTCAAGGTTGCGGGGGGCACTAGATCCTATCCCGGCTCTCACTGGGCCAAAGGCAATGTACAGCCTGGACAGTCTCCCCGTCCATCACAGGTTCAACAAAAAGCCAAATGAGACTGCCGACCATGTGTGCTTTCACTCGCTACTGACGTTGATTTAGAATCGCCTGTTTCACCAACATCCATGTTTGAAACAAAACAAATAACAAAAGCATGAATGCTTTAAAAAACGCAGTGAAAGCAGGCAAAGCATCAACAATATAACTGAATACTTGATCAATTTGACAGATTTCATTGTAACAAGGTCAAATGTGCAGAAGTTTCTGGGTTTCCATACAGGACAAACTTGTTGAAAACCAGATGTAGGTTTTTTTTACACTTGGCTGTTGGAATCCATGCACTGATCATCCTCTAAAGCATCAAGTGAGGTTGTCACAGAGGCAAAATAGGTGTGATGAAGACCAAGGAGGCATCGCATAACACAGCACTCTAGCCAACGACTGTCATCACTCAGTGGAATGTGCGACGGTAGTGTGTAAGCACACACTGATTGGTATATGTTAGCCACCATGGAGATGTGGAAAGGGATTAAGTTGGAGATGTATCACTTACAAACAGTTTAGTTTGGATTTAAATCTATAAGGATTGCATTGGTTATGAAAAATTACTTTTTTATTTATAAATCAATCATCATGCACTTTGATAAATTCAAAGAAGAAATAATTTATACGCTAGGGTAAATGTACTGTATTGAAGAACTGTAATGATTGTGATCCTTTAACGCAAATAGTCCTAGATCCTTGTCATGGCTCACTCTGCATTATTTTGACTTTGTACCCATTCCCCAACTTTTAACTCATTTACTTTTCTCAGAGTTGTTTAAACATTTGGAAATGATTTATCCTGTAGTGTCTTTGGAATGTTGACTGATGAGTCACCCAAAGTTGTTTTATGTGGTGTGTGTGGGGGGGGGGGGGGGGGGGGGGCTATTTCTGTATACCACATGACAAAGGTAATGGGTGTAATTTGTCACCCAGCAAGGATGGAGAGATTGATGATGGTTGATGGAGGAGAGAAGGTGCTCAACAAAAGATGTTTGGGGGAAAATGAGATGCATTAAGACAAAAGAGGTGAGAGGAAAAAGTCGATAAGCACTCCCTCCCATTCCCTCATAATTCTCCTCCATTGTTCTCGCTAACAGATTGCGGACGGAGTGTTTAAAAGGAGAAATAGAATCAAATCTGTTTCCTACTGATGATGTGGCAAAGAGGAAGGTGGATTTAATGAGATTCTTTTTGTAAGACTTGATACAACATGGTGGGCCCTGTCTCGGACCTTGAGGACTACCCCACCCTGTACTTCAGGTAGTGTTTTTTTTTATCTTCTAATTGATATTGCTGCATTTCACTAGAGGCACACATGCCCTACATAGACTGTACTTATTCATATAAATTGAATTTATTGCAAACCTCTCATTTCAGTTAAGCTTTGGGTTAAGTGTAGGGTTGTGAAGACATTGGTTCTTTGCTATGAGCTCGTTGCATCCACTTATATTTTCAGCCATAGAATTTCACATCAGAAACCCAAAGAAGAACCATAGTTTTTCCTTGTAATTCATTTTGGTCGAGTTATTATCTGTTATCCGTGTCCTTACTGGTTAAATTTACTGCTCAAATGATCAGTAAGTGTGGTACCAGAGATCCAAAAAGTCAGAGATCCAACGACTGTTCATCAACCTTAGTTGAACTGCTAAAAGAGTTTTGTACAACACTGTAAAACACTTCAACTGTCCACAATGTGTTACTTCACACTTAAAACATGCTGTATAGTACCTTAGTAACATCATCAAACTTGTATCCCGGATCCTTCTGTTACCTGGACAAAATGTAGATTCCCTTCGTAAGTGTGTAGCACACCGACCTGTCGTCACCTATTGAATAAAGGACGCTGGACTTGAAGGTGCTTGGCCTCTCGTCCGAAAGACAATTCTCAATTCTCAAGTGAATAATCTGCAACATGACGTGTATGTCACACAAAAGTATTATGTAACGAAAACTAAATTTAATGAGCATCTTAAGCAGACTTGCGACAAGGTCTAGCAGACATTTTGACATCATTTTATGCCACGCAGCAGATGGCTGAATACATAAAAAAAAACCTATATGTCCGTCTACCTTTTTCTCTTACACAGGCATAGTGTGTGTGTATAAATACACACCTGACTACAAGAGTGAGGGCAGGAAGCTTGTGATTTTTCTGAAATCCAACTTGTGACCCCACACACATTCAGACCCAGAAGCTCTATAAATTTTCAACAAGTTTTTCCTTTCACTGTTGGAGCAGAGAGAAAAGCGGGGTTACATATGTTGTACATTCAAAGAAAGCTCTTTCCAAACTCAGTGTGCACCTACAGTATGTGCCAATGAATTGTGACCCTTGCATGTCACCCCATCACAACTGCTTACAAATAATGGATGTTACCAATTTCTCAGGTTGTTACTGAGAAATTCCTGCTAATAACTTTAAAACCTATTCATTTTAAATGATGCAGTTCTGTTAGGGTGGCATTTCCAGGGCAGAAACACCTATTCTTTGAAAACATGAGACCTGCTGACATGGTGTGTGTCATTTACACTGAATATGTTATACCAGTGTTACCTCTCTGAGTCTAAGTTGCAATTTCCTTTTGTCCACATGGTTCAGTAATTGAACAAAGTAACCAAGACCTTCCATCTAAAAACAGGAATTGTTCACTTCAAAAAATCTTTGCCGCAGCTTGTCGACAGCTTGTGTGAACCTCAGAGGAACTGAGTGTATCCGGAAATATGTCCTCAAGGTGTGTTTTCTATGAGGTGTGATGGGTGTGAAATACATGCAATTAATTTCAGAATTAATAAACTAACTTAAACTCTGTGGATTTTACAGTTATGTGCTACAGAATACAGTGTTATATTTTGAACATTTATAAAACGATCATATCCATGGGACAATTTGGACCTAATATTGTTTCATCCAGTGATCAGCCAAATGGCTTTCTGTTCAGTTTTTTCAGTTTTTTCATGTGCAGAAGTTTCTGGGTTCTCCATACAGGACAAACTCGTTGAAAACCAGATTTAGGGTTTTTTATGACACTTGGCTGTTGCAATGAATTAGTTTGGCTGAGTGAATTTGATCTTATTCATTTGTGAAGTTGTTAGATAATGCTGGCATGAATGATCCCATAATGAATCCTTGCCTTGAACTTTGGATTTGTGATACAAAGCAGTGACTAAATCACATGAGTTGAAACTAATCAAAGGGTCAATCACTCTAAACAAATGTCTTTAGAGAATATCTTTAAAGAATCTCTTTAAAGTTGGGCTGAGAATAATGGGAGAACATTTTTAAGGACTCTTCCACGCAAAGGAGCGATTAATCTACCATCAAACGGAAAATGCCAAATCATGAAGTAAAAATTAAAAGATGATGATCTCATTTCTGTTTATGCTAACAAACGTGCTGTTGCCACAATGGTAGGGCTCTCCCCTGAAATATAAAGCGTTTTCCATTTTTGATCCCAAAAAAAGCAACTTATCACATAACTTTGGGTGTAGTCTGTCTAATCCAGATAAGAGAGGCAGCAATGGGGATAGCGGCAACAGTATAAGCTTTGGTTGTTAAGAGATTAATTTTTTCCTTTAAGAAAAGTCTTGGCCGAGAGTTATGCAAAGTAGTAGATTATTTGAGAGTGTGACATCTGTAGGGAATTATCCATCTGAGTGATCTCATTTCAGTTTCTAGCAGTCAGTGCACATGTAAGAAAGTCATCATTGGACTGTGACCATCTATCTTTTTAATTTCTTTGTGCAGAAGGTGGAAGGGAGTTATCACTAAAGCATAAGGTATTTCAGCTAATAACCACGTGTGAATACAGGCATGAAAAACAGCACAATCTGTTTCACAACGGCATGAAAAATGAACGCCGCCATGGATGACAAATCGTTTCAGTCCACAGCTGACATAGTTCACTTCTCTACAGACATGCTTTCACTGCATGGCTGGGTGATAGTGGTTATTAAGTAGGAAAGCAGCGCATTTTTAAACCCAACAGCTATGCACACTAGTTTTCTTCCATCCTCACCGCTGAGGTTTGGATGACGGTCACGACTTTGTGTGCCCAAACCGGGTCCCATGAGCTGTTCAATTGCTTTGATGCATTTTTCAAAAGGGCTGTGACTTGAATGC